GGGGTGGCAGGGGGGTTGGCATGGAGGGTGAATAGGACTTCTCAGGGGTGGCATGGAGGTGTCAGGGTGGTGACATGCAGAGTGGAATGGAGGGTGACAGGGGAGTGACATTGGGGTGACATGGAGGGTGGCATGGGGGGTGAATAGGACTTCTTGGAGGTTGCATGGAGGTGGAAGTGGGGTGTCATGGAGGGTGAATAAAGCCTCTTGGGGATGGCATGGTGATGACATGGAGGGTGGCATAGGGGTGACATGGCTGTAGCATGGAGGGTGGCATGGAAGGTGGCAAGGGGACATGTGTGAACATGTGTGCACCAAGCACGTGGGGTCTGGGAGCAGCACCCGCAGCCCTGGGTGGCTGGGACCTGCCCTGAATGTTCCCCACATCCCCATGTTGTCCCCCCTGGCAGGCTGACAGCCCCTAACTTCAGGTGCTGCTGCCCCCCAGCTCCGCTGTGCCCCATCCCTCCATCCCCCTCATGACCCCACCCCAACGTCTGATTTATGAACTGCCAAAAAAAACCCCCCAGAGCATCCCAGAAACCAGCCCTCCCACTCCCACCGGAAAGAAAATCACATCCGATAGAAAAATCCCCAAATCCTGAACCCCTCCGAGGGCAGGAGCATCCTCCTGGCTCCCCGCGTGGGGACAAACCCTGGGACCAGCCTGGTTTGTCACGAGGGGCTGAGCCCGGGCTGTCTGTTGCTGAGGGTACCCGTGGTCCAGCACGGGCAGTAAATCCCTGGCTTTTATTTCTCTGCTCTGCCCAGCCCTTCCCAGGGGCGAGAGGAGGAAAAAAAGCTTTTCCTCGTAAATTCCAGGGAGAAAGCAAAGTAGAGATGGAGGGAAGGAGAAAGCCTCAACGATTTATGGCCAACATCAGGCGCAGCAGAAGACTTGGCGGTGCATTTCACCATCCAAATTCTGCCTTAAAATCCCACTCTCCTCCCTCTTCCTTCTCGCCACCCATGGGGGTTTTGGCTCGGGGAGCTCCCCGGACTGGCTCCCGAAGGCTCCGGGGGTGCAGCCTCGGGGACACCCCCTTCCACCCGCTCCTGCAGAGCCAGACCCGGGTAACGAGTCCGTGCGGTGCCGGGGAGGCTGCGGGGTGCGCCCATGGCGGTAGGAAATGAGCAATTAGGTATAAAAGCGCTTTAGGAGAGACCCTGCCCCATCTGCAGAAATTAATTGGGTCCTAATTCGGGGCAAACAGGCCACCACGGGCACTGGCAGCACCTTTTCCAGCTCTGCAGAGCCGTGGGGACTGAGCAGCCGTCGCCGTGCTCTTCTGGGGCCAGGACACAGGATGATTTAATTAGAAAAATGGCTTTTTTTTTATTTTTTTGCGTGTCTCTCGAGGGAGGTTGAGATGCTCTGGGGAAGCAGCACGGCAGCATCTCGTCCTCGCTGGTCCCCACGGACCCCTTGTCCCCACAGCTACCCCATCCCACCCCATGGGGAGAAGCTGGTGGCTCCAAACCCCCTGGGATAGAGCACCAAAGCCAAAATTGCCACGATGGCTGGTGCCTGTGCCCTGGGTGGGACAACCAGGGCCCGTGGTGATCAGAGGAGAGCAGCTCCAAATAACCAGGCAAGCAGATGCCTGTAGGTCGCTCACACACCCTCGTTGCAGCAGCCTCACCATTCCAGCAGGCACTGGTCCCGGTTCTCCAGCCACCCCAAACATCTCCTCCAGTTTGCTCGCCCCACAGCACAGGACACAGACACCAACACCCTTAAAAAAAGGGGCATTTTTTCCTCTCCATCACGTTCAGGGCTACAGGGACACCATTTTATTGCAGCTTAAGGATGCGACGGTGGAAGCGAGCAGCTTTGGTCCCAGGGCTCTGCGTAACACCGTCTACTGCAGGCTCGTCTCCGGCACATAGAGGAAAGAAGGAGGAAAAAAGAAATCAAATAGCTCTGCCCTTTCTCTTTTTAGTTTGCTTTAAGTCAGCAGAGCATCAGCAAACAGCAGCTCTACTGCCTGTAAGGGACAGTCCTGCCTGAGTGTGGTAACAGCCACACGGGATGCTCCGGGCTGGACCAGGGACCCAGCTCCGGTCCTCATCTCCTTTTACACTGAGGAAGCTCCTGCCTGAGATTCGTTTTACCTGGTGAAATCTGAGCTTTTCCAGCTGCTGCATCAGCCTCGTCAGCAGCAGCAGGGGATGAGAGGGCGCAGGCAGCCGAGCCAGAGCCCTTTGTGTTAACCCATGGGCACAGACAAAGGATTTTCACAGGCACCTCTTTCAGGCATTGCTTTATCCCAGTTTTCTGTACATGGCTTTGGATCCAAGAAATAAAAACCAAGGAGCACTTTCCAATTCATCAGCTCCAGCTTTCTTAGTGTTAAGTGATACCCGGCTCTGGCACACTCGGTCAGGGCTGCGCACTTCCTTGCAGGGCATGGAGTGTAGCCAGACTTTAACTACCTAACTCCCTTTTCTCCCAGGTGGTCCAGAGGAGAAACACATAAATCCTCTGGTGAGCAGATACCAGGTGGAGAAAGAGGTTCTGCTTCCTGGAGAGAAGATTTTCCCTTCAGATTAATTTTATCTGTCCCATCAGCTCCCACCGCATCCAAGGAAGCGGAGCCCTGAACCCATCCAGGGTTATTTTGGATAGCCAAACCCCCACCACAGCAGGCAGGAGGAAGCTGCCACCCCAATCTCGCACAGAGCAAAGCCCTTGAGATAGCTCCAAGCCCTGTGGAGTGAAGGAACCTAGCAGAACCTTCCCCAACCCATCAGCACCACGAGGATGGAGCAGTGTCCAGCAGCACATCACATCTGCGTGATGCATCCACCAGCAGAGTGGTATGTATGGCTTCAGGGATGGGTACAAGAGACCAGAGCAACATCAACTCCATCCTCACCTTCTGCTCAGCCTGCAGCTAGAGACTGAAGCTGGAGGGCTTGGGGAGAGGGAGGACTCCTCTCAGGAAGGGGCAGTGACACGCACTGGAAACCTGAAATACAGGTCCTCAATATTAAAGGGGCAGATCAATGGGCTCCAGGTGTGGATAGCATCTGGGAAGCTGCAGTGGGAGGGGAATCAACTCCCATGGCAATAATTGCTTCTGACACAGCCTTGCTGCAAGCACCCCAGCTCCTGATACTTCCATACACAGGGGTGACAGTTACCCACCACCCCCAGGCCCACTTCCTTCTCCTCAAGGAGCATCTCCTCTCACATCGAGGTGTGTTCACCCACAGAAGGGCAAGACACCTCTTAACCAGCTTTTCAGAGCTGCTTCAGCTACTCCAAGTCAATCCTAGAAGTTCCCTCACTAGCCCCAAGACCCAGCAGGATTTGGTGGCAAGACCCTCCTCTCCAGCAGCTTAACACAGCTCACAGAAAGTTTCTCACCACTTTTTTCCACCCCAAAAACACACCCAGGAGCTCAAATACATTTCTGCAAGGCCTTAGATATGAGGGAAAAGAGAGTTTATACTGTTTGCAACAGCAGCTTATGAGGAAAAAAAAAAGTCAAAGGCAAGGAGTACAAAGAAGTGCAGTTTATTGACAAGTTTCAGAAGTAAAAAGACTCAGTGCTTTTGGTCCTCTTGGTCTAGAGACATGAGCTCTACCAGAGCACCTTCACCCACCAGCTCAGAGCTGTGTAGGGTTTCATCTTCAGAAGTTGAAGTCTTGCTTCTCCACCGAGAAATCGTACAGTCCATCTTGGCCAGTCCCAGGCTGCAGATCTGTGTTTTCCTGGGAGGAAGTTGACAGCCATCAGTTAAGGTTCTGCATCTTAATTAACCTAAGCTTTTCACACCAGAGTTTGCCTGAAGGTTTTTACAGCAGCTTGCTGTTTTATTCCCGTTTTTAAAAGTTCTGCTGCTGTAACAAGCTGTTAAGATCAGCTTGACTCTAACAGGACCCTTGGAGGCTGCACCAAGTTCTCCTGTTCTTTACAGCACACTGAAGCTGCCGTGTCCCTGCATCTCACTCAAAAAGGAGCCAAGTCCACAGGCTCAGACACCAGAGAAAGAAGAAGAAAGTGGCTGGAGTGGCAGAACTCAAATTAAATAACCTGCTTGGAACAGCACCAATGCAGGACAGCTCTGGAGAGATGCTCCCCCAGCCCCTCAGGCTGGTGTGTAGGAGAGCTTCCTCCACACCCTTTCACAGGGACATCCCGCAGACCCTGTTCTGGGCAAAGGGCTAAGACACTTGCTCCCTGCTGCTGCTGTTCACATCTAGATCAAGCCTCAGCACCAAGATCTGCCAAACCACTAAGCCTCTTCCCTGATGTTTCTCCATCTGCGAGACTAAGGCTAGGACCAAGCATGGCATCTGTGACAGTCATGGGACTCTCAGAACAACTAGCTGGTGTCCTATCCTCTTTTTCCATAAGTTCATTAGCATGAAGGGGGGGGGTCAAGTAATCCAAATGCAACCTGAGCACGGTTATCAGCCACTTCCTCCACACCCTTTCACAGGGACATCCCGCAGACCCTGTTCTGGGCAAAGGGCTAAGACACTTGCTCCCTGCTGCTGCTGTTCACATCTAGACCAAGCCTCAGCACCAAGATCTGCCAAACCACTAAGCCTCTTCCCTGATGTTTCTCCATCTGCGAGACTAAGGCTAGGACCAAGCATGGCATCTGTGACAGTCATGGGACTCTCAGAACAACTAGCTGGTGTCCTATCCTCTTTTTCCATAAGTTCATTAGCATGAGGGGGGGGTCAAGAAACCCAAATGCAACCTGAGCACGGTTATCAGCCAAATAGGAGGCTTCCATTCATAGTGACAAGCTAGCTCAGCTCTGAAGGAGGAAACTTCTCCGCATTTGGTATTCATATCAGCAACTGCAGCAACTCCAGCTGATGCCAGTTTAAATTCCAGCAGCGAGATGCTATCAAGGCATCCATATCTCTTGTGCAACTCATCAGCTGACAACTTGGAGCTTTTACAGACCTTTAAAAGCAACTGGAACAAGATGCAAGGACTACTCTAGTCATGTAGAGGTCTCTTCCAAACCCCTCTTTCAGCATCCTTAAAGCCTGCGCTTCATTCCAGTGTGTAATAGCTTCCCATTTTCAGAGAAGGAACCACAAGAGCTCACATACCTCACCAGAGAAGTATTTCTCTATGATATTCAGTGCTGCTCGGTAGACCATGTTGTTGTCATGGGTTTGCAAGGCTTCAATTTTCTCCAGACCATCGAGCTCCTCCACCAGCAGACACAATCTTTCTGTCTCTCCCAGCTTCTCAGCCGTCTGTAGCACCAGATAACCAAGCAGGAAAATGCAACCTTAGCTCAGCAGTAGGTCCCAGACAGTCTTCACTGTAAAGCCCTGATCTACAAGTCAAAGGATCACAGTCCCTGCAGTTGCGGTCCCTACCTGATCCCAGGGATGGGGCTACTCTGCATGTGGAACGCCAGTCCCTGCTGGGGTTACTGCACAGCAGCTTCACTGCCAACCAGACAAGCTGGCCAAACCCTACCTGGTCACAGCCACACGCTGAGAAGCGGCAGGCGTGACCTGCCACCCACCATTTCATTTGCAAAAGCCATTTCACTGGTGCAAAGGTGCTACAAGGAACAGGCCTTCAAGCGAGAGGCACATAGACATCTGCTGGCAGAGCTGCAATGCCCCCCCAGGATCACTTGATTTCCCTGCAGTTGCATTTCTGAAAGACCTTTACTTCTGTCCAAGCTTGGGACTTGGCACATAACCTCTTCTCCTTTCCAGGAGGAGACTACAAGTCACAGGGGGTAAAGAGGAACACTTTGGGTAATCTTGTCAAGCCCTTGAGAAATGTAAGGATGTCCAAGAACAAGTCAGGCAACATGAATTTCAACTCTTACTCCTACAAGATCAGCAGCTGCTGTAGGAGAAGCTGCTTTCACTACACAATGACTCACACCTTGCTGCTCTTCTGGGGAAAGGATGCAAGAGATTGTAGGAGAACTTACCAGGAAGAGATTTGAAATGGTATCTAGGATGATCAGGATAGTTTTGCTGTCTTTGGCCAAGAGCAGGTTAAGTAGAGGTTTGAGGACCCCAGACTGGACAAGTTGCACCACTTGCTCCTCGGTGGCTCCTGTCGTGAAGTTGGCCACTGCCCACACAGCCTCCTTCTGAGCTTTGAAGTCCCCCTGGAAGAATAACACAGTTAAGGCACTCCCCAGCTTTAGCATCCCTCTAAGACCAGCATGAGGTGAGGATAACCATTTCCCTTGTATGCAGTTTGGACTGACCCACCTTCCCTAGCACTTTGAGTGACAGGTGGACATGACCCAAGCCATCCTGAGGAGTCTGAGCACCCAAAGCTGTTCCAAGGATCTCAACAGCTTCAAATGATTGCTCAGGTGGCTCTCAGGTACATGCTGAGTGCTTCACAAAGGAGGCATCATGGACCTCATGAACTTCAGCATCGCTTGTGCAGCACCACAGTCATCCCTTACCTTATCGAGCAGCTCCACCAGAGGTGGCAGTAACCCACAGGTGATGAGTTGCTGGATCTGCTGGCCAGGCCCTGCTGCAATGTTGCTGAGCGCCCACGCGGCTTCCTTCTGTATGGATGGCTTTGTGTGTCGCAGGAGGCTGGGCAGGACAGCCAAGACACCAGCATCTATAGCTGCCTGGGTCTGCTCATCAGTCCCCGTGACTACGTTCCCAACAGCACGGAGAGCTGGAGTCTAGACAGAGATTAAAGGAGATGAGGTGAATCCTTACCTCAAGGGATACACACCAGAAAGCCCAGCGAGATCCCCCACTAAGTGCCTGATCCTTCAAATAAGGAAGGTATCGTAGGTGATTACTGTTGTATTTACAGACCTATCGCCCTCCTGTTTTGTTCTAAGCAGCTTTGCAGTCTCTATTCCAGGCTGCCAACCACAGCAAGCTGGAACAGAGTAGGGGCTTGACCAACAGCCAAGCACTCCTGCAGTCTGAAGAGGCAGCAGACCACACTAGCCACATTAATAATGAAATATGCCTTCCCTCTCCTCAGATGTTCTTACATTAAGGGACCAGAGGCTGGGGATTACTATTTCCTACCAAAATGATCAATGCCGAGCTGCCCATGAGTTCCACCAGCCTTGGGAGAACCCCTGTATCCACCACAATTTGGATGCGATCGTTGGAGCCGTCGGTCAGATAGGAAATAGCCCAGCAGGAGTCAGAAATTATTTCTTTGTCCTCGTGTTCAATGAGGCAGAGGAGGACTGGCAGCATCTTCTTCATTGCATTCAGGGGAGGGTAGGGGTTCTTGTTCCTACAGAGGTTTGACAGTGTCCACGTGATGTTCCTCAGGAACCCAACCTGAAACACAAGGGAGGTGTAAGATCATCACTGCAGCAACAAGCGAGGAAGAGGTAGCACTCCACTTCTGGTCCCTGCAGCTCAGAGATATTATCAAGTAGCCAGAAGCAGCCTTCTTAATAAGGGCTGAGGCTTATTGGAAGAAGGGAGATGAAACAGGCAAGTGACTAAGACAGATTCACCCCCTCCCTCCCCAATACCGAGTTCCAATAACTCCATCTCTGGTGGTGTGACAAGCTGCAATGACTAACAAAGGTGCCAAACAGCTTATTTGCTGGCTCCTTGTGACAAATTACAGAGCATTCTTTGGACAAGAGCAGGAATTTGTTGTTTTAATATTAGCATTAATAAATATTAGCAGCTCATTGTTCTAGAGCAGGGCACTGTGAGGAATTGATTTAAGTTGCATCACTCAGGCAGCTCATCCCAGTAAGGATGCTCCCAGGAGATTAGTGGAGCTACATTCAAACCATTGCAGCTACCAAGGGGTGCGATACATGAACTGGTGTTTTGTCATGTTGTTTTTCCACAGGGCTCCCTAAGAAAAGACAAGAGTGAGCTGGGCTAGGAACAGAGCAGCCACCAAAGTTACACTTTTTTTTTTTAAATAAATATCTTTCAGTACAAACTCACAGAAAACCTAGGGGGCCTGAAAGGCCGTAGTTATGCCTACAGAAAGCATAGAGCTTCCACCACACCCAGGAACAGGAAACCAGGAGGCAGTGGTACCACCATCACCACCCCCAAGAGGTTCTCAGTGAAGGTCCTTCTCTCCCAGAGACCAAGGAAGCAGTGGGGTAGGCACCATCACAGAAGGGCAGAGACGAGGCACAAATCCAGCATTCTAGAGCTACCCAAAGAGCAGCAGGAAGAAGATCAAAGAGCTGATTCAAGCCCTTCCACGCACATATGCAAAACTTGCATCAGCTTAATCCCATTTCTAGGTTGAGATGGTCAAAGCTGGAGAGCAAAGCTAGGATTGGAAGACATCACATTGGCTTGTGGAATGTCTGCTTGGCATCCCTAGCTTTGAATATAGCTTAGAGTCATTAAAAGCAGTTTAAGACAGGGTCTCATTCAATTATACAAATAGCTGTTGTTTTAAGGCAGACCATAGACCACTGTTCACCCAGAAGCCAAGTGATACAGAGCTGTTAAGAAAATGAACCATCCCTAGCTTTGAATATAAGCTCAGAGTCATTAAAGGCAGTTTAAGACAGGGTCTCATTCAATAAAACAACAGCTATTTGTATGAAGGCAGACGATAGACCACTGTTCACCTAGAACCCAAGTGATACAGAGCTGTTAAGAAAATGAAGGTTATTTACTGGAGTTGCAGGAGACACCAGAGCCAGCAAGGGAGGAATTACACTGCAATTGATAAGAGCATCTCTGTACAGAGGACCATCACCTGTACATATGAAAAAGGGTTGTTTAGTGCATTTGCCCAAGTCGCAAGACAGTCAACATCAAATGGCAATCAGACCTGCAGCCACAGGCCAGGGCTGGGTGACCAGGGTCCCTCACCAGCCACACACCAGTCAGTATTTTCTGATGGGGAGGATTTAACAGGTAGACTGGAGTGCCACCATGGCTAGTTTGACACAGCCTGTCTTCTCCCTACTGACATCACTATGGGTCTGATAAGGTTATTTACTGGAGTTGCAGGTGACACCAGAGCCAGCAAGGGAGGAATTACACTGCAATTGATAAGAGCATCTCTGTACAGAGGACCATCACCTGTACATATGAAAAAGGGTTGTTTAGTGCATTTGCCCAAGTCGCAAGACAGTCAACATCAAATGGCAATCAGACCTGCAGCCACAGGCCAGGGCTGGGTGACCAGGCTCCCACACCAGTCAGTATCCTCCTCCAGGGAGGATTTAACAGGTAGACTGGAGTGCCACCATGGCTAGTTTGACACAGCCTGTCTTCTCCCTACTGACATCACTATGGGTCTGATCACCCCAGCAGGACAGAGTCTCACACTCAACTCTGGCCAAAATCCTCCCGCAGAACCAACTAAGAGCGGAAATTTAGACTAGATAGAAGGAAGAGTGGTTTTTGTACAATGAGGGTGGTGAAACCCTGGCACAGCTTGCCCAGAGAGGTGGTGGATGCCCCATCCCTGGAAACATTCAAGGTCAGGTTGGATGGGCCTGTGAGCAACCTGATCTAGTTGAAGTCATCCCTGCTTCTGGCAGGAGGATTGGACTAGGGGGCCTTTAAAGGCCCCTCCCCACCCAAACCATTCTATAGCCAACAGAGGGTCTCAAAGGCTGCCAGGCCACATGAAGGGACTGAAGAGTTTCAATAGGGGCATCAGCTTGGAGACAACACTGCAAGGAGACAAGACTATCTTGAGGAACATCAGTATTTTTAGCTCCCCAGCACTGGCTTGGGCAGCAACCCTCCACATCCCCCCAGGCCTGGAGACCTCTGCTCACCTGCGATGTTGCCCAGAGCCCACACAGACTGCTCACTGATGTGCATGTGTGGGGAGGACAGGAGGGAGATCAAGGCTGGGATGGCATTGGCCTCCACTACAGCCTTGGTGTGGTCAGAGGTGCCAGAGGCGATGTTAGTCAGTGCCCAGGCTGCTTCAAACTGCAGAGCATCATTGTCAGTGCGGGTCAGGAACTCAACCAGCCTGGGGATGATCCCCAGCTCGATGATCTGATTGATAGGTGGGTCCTTCTGCCTGGACAGTATTCTTCTGCAGGAGAAGACACAGCACAGCCCACCATGAGAAGCCATAATACACCATAAACCTGTAGCCAGGTAAAGGCTGTGGCCTGTGAGGGAATGGGGACCTGTTAGAGATGCTAGTTCAGCATCCTATGTCAGCAGACCCTCTGGCAGAGGAGTTGCCATAGACAAGATCCTGCAGGAGACATATCTAAGAAGATGCTGGAGCACCAGCAGGATGTCTGAGCCACTCTCACAGCCACTGGGAACATCATTGGTCCCCTGGCACAGGGGCAGGTCGCTGATCTGGCAGCTCAAGCCAAAGGAGCACCAGCAGCAACTCAGCCTCTCCTGGACCCTCAGAAGACACCCCTGCTGCACCCCATGATCCCTCCTGCACCCACCCAGGTGGGGACAGCCCTGCTCAGCAGTGACCCTTACAGAGCCAGGCTTTTGGTCCCCTGGCACAGGGGCAGGTCGCTGATCTGGCAGCTCAAGCCAAAGGAGCACCAGCAGCAACTCAGCCTCTCCTGGACCCTCAGAAGACACCCCTGCTGCACCCCATGATCCCTCCTGCACCCACCCAGGTGGGGACAGCCCTGCTCAGCAGTGACCCTTACAGAGCCAGGCTTTCCAGCCCTTGTCCTGCCCAAGCCTTTGGCACTTGGTGTCTTCCCCAACCACCTCACCAGCTGGCGGGAGCCAGGCACGGTCCCTGCCCCAGCACAGGCACAGCCAGTGTGGCAGCTCCAGGAGCCACAGCCAACCCCTTGGTGAGGTTCAACCACACAGGTCCCTGCAGATGGAGCCAAGCAAGGCACAAAACCGGCACCAGCTGAGGTTCCTCAGGGCATTTCAGGTTACCAGGCTCCTTCCCCCTTTGCCATGTCTCCAGAGAAGCTCTTCAAACAGGAAGAAACACCTTCTGCTGACGGGACCCACCGCAGCTCCACCAGCCACCTCCCTCCCGGCGCAGGGCAGCATACCTGGCGGCCTGCGTCGCCTGCAGCTGCAGCTTGGTGTTGCTCCCATTCACAGCTTCAGCGATTTTCTCCAAGGACAGCGGGATAATCTGTGTCACAGGGGATGATTCAGAGTCAGATGGCGGGCCAGGGCTCCCTCCAGTTTAATCTCTGCAGTCAATCAGCTGTCTAGACCCGAGTCAGTCACCACTTCATATCTAAGCAATGTCTGCTCTTTATGCAATGCAGTTTCGAGATGAGGCAGAGGAAGAGAATCCACAAAAGCCTTCCAGGCAACTAATCCTTATAATCAAGCACGGAAAGAGTCACTGACACACCACAATGGGCCTACCAGCTCGCTAATTACCCCTCACCCTGCAAGGAGCCAGACAGGAGCTTCGCCAGCTCCTCAGCGAGCTGGAGCACCAGCCTGTTCTACCTGCCGTCCAGGGAAGCCACACGGGACATCATCTCCATGCAAAACACCACAGAAAAAGGGCAAGGCAGCCTCAAACACTCCCCAACACTGGGCACGGCCATCAGGAATGCCATGGGCTATTTAACCCAGGTCACTTGAGCTGGGCTTGGTAGTGGTCCAGGTAGATGAGAGCTACAGCACCAATCCTGCCTGGGTGCAGAGCACCCTGCACTCACCTCATTTCTTTTGTCTTCTCCGGGAGAGAGATTCTCATCCATGAAACTGAATGAAATACCCCTGCGCTTCTGGATCTGCTCATCCTTCTTGGACTTTCGCAGCTCAACAGTCACCTCCACTCTCTGCCTCCGCAGGGCCTGGAGGGGAGGAGAAGGACACCATCCTACTGGTGTCTGCATCACCCAGTTCCCCAAGGAGCTCAGCTCTGCAACCCTCTGCCCCAGGTTTCCTACACAAGGGATGCAGAGAGCCAGGATCTCCTCTTGGGCAGCTCCTTGCTCTGGCCTGAGGGTTTCATAGGAGATGGGACAGAGTAAAGCCTCTCACTTAGTGCTTCCCAAGGACACGGGCTGCTGGATGAGCAGCAACCAGTGGGTGCTTTTAAAAGGTAGATTTGCTGAACCTGAAAAGCAAACCCTCATCAGCTCCACTGGCTTAAAGCAAGCTGACAGGTCCCATGGTCTGACATCCCCTCCCAGCCCCGGCTCCGCAGGGATAACTGCTGCAGAGAACTCAGCAGGAACCATCTCCCTCCCCCAGCACAGCTCAGAGTCACCCACCCAAAGCTCACGTCCCCCTTGCCTGTGCCACCATGTTCCTTGCTGCCCAGCCAGCCCCACAACACATCTCAAAAGCCAACTGATCATCCTCACTGGCAGAGCCATCCCCCCTGCCTTTGTTCCCTTGTACAGGTAGATTTGGGGTCAATTGCCCTTCAGAAGCCTTCTCACTATCTCCTACCAACCAGCAAACCCCCAGTGGGGGCCACTGCCCAGAGGGGACAGCACAGATGGGTGGTGGAGATCAGTACTTACGTCCACATCCTTGCCCTTGTTCTTGAACTTCCTCATCCTCTCATCGGACTTGTTCACGACTGACATCTTGGCAGGTTTGAGAGAGGTGCCAGCTGAAAACCTTCACGTGCTTTGGGGGTTCAGGACAGAGCAGTGTCAGGTCATAACCACACCAGTGACATCCACATCCATCCACAGAGGGGTCTGGGATCTCCCCACACTCCCACCAACAGCCTGTCCCACACATTTTCTCCCCAGCACAGGAGATGCTGGAGATCTCCTGCCCTAAGCAGAGCTCAGTAGGAACCTCACACACTGCAGCTTGAGCCACCAGACTAAGGGCAGGCACAAAATGCCACTTAATACCAGGCTACAAAAATTACAGCTGCTGCTGTAACCCCAGGAGGACACACACTGGACACACCACTTCTCATCCCTACAGTGACACCACCTTCCTCTAGTTCTGATCCCAGGGCTTTTAGGTTTACTCAGACACATGGCTCAAGCCCAGCAAGGCCTCTTGCCTCCAAAAAGCATTTAAGGACAAGTAGCCACAGCCAAGCCAACCCTCTCACCCCACCACACAGCCCAGCTTGGCTTCCTGCACCAGGGTCCCCCCAGTAGAACAGACCCAAGGCCACATGCAGTGGCACGAAGTGACCAAGTTCAACCAAGCAAAGAGTTCCCCTTGGAAACCCAGCTACTCTTAAGGATTGCCAGGTGAAAAACATTAGTAGGGCAGGTAAAAATAATTTCTAAGCCTCTCTTAGTAAGGACCACAGACATACACACAAGTAGAACCAAGCACAAGCCTTCAGACAGTTTGTGTCAGAAAAAGCAAGGCTTCCACCCAGCAGAAGTGGAGGTCCTTTCAGAGCACCCAGACACCACCAAGGGCCTCACAAATCCCTAAGCACACACAGGTGCTGCATCTTCACCCTTTCTCCAGGCTCACAGCCAACTCCTGTGGCTCTAATCAGCCTCCAAGAGCTCCACTTAATCCAGCTTTCTGAGTTTTAAGCTTTTGGTGGAGTTTTTTTTACCTTCTCTCTCCACATTTCCTGCCCCAGCAACCAAGGCTAGATACCAGCACCATCAACTTTTTACCTCAACACAGCAGCCAGCCACCAAGCTACAGACCCACCTCACAGTGGGACCAGGATGAGCCCCCTCTTGGCTCAAGCCAATTACACCTCAAACCCTACTCTCAAACCTCAAGGTCTGCTTCAGCCTTTCTTACTGTGTTTTCCCTTCCAACAGAGGGGAACAACAACACCCCAGAAGACCTCTTCTTTTGGGGGAAGCTTTCTCCACCCCCACCTCAGCAGAGGTGCACCACAACACCCACAGTGACACCAGCCAAGCAGGAGACCCTGCAAAGCCCCAAACAGCCAGGAGAATCCAACCAGCAACCCCATACTCATCATAGGATAGATGAGACCTCATCACCCCAAGGAAGAGGAAAACTACTCACCCAAACTCTCTCTCATGCCCCATCATCCTCAACTGCCTCTTTTATTGCTCCCATGGAGCCACATCCTCCCCTCTGCTCCCCCCATGATTGGCTCTTCCCAGGACAGCCTCTCGTTATCTCCAGCTGCTCCTTTGCCATGGCCACCTGGATGCACCTGGAGAAGAATGGGTGGTGGTGCCTTCCCTCCTGAGCTGCTGTCCTGCCTGGGCCACCCTGCTCACCCCCCATCTCCTCCACACATTTATGCTTTGTCCACTTTGGCCATGTTTGTGGCCAGACCCTTCATGGGAGATGCCATCCTGCACCCATACAGCGTCCCATGACATGGGGGACAGTCTGGGCACTGCCTCCCCATCGTGTGCAGGGGATGGGCAGTCTGGGGATGCCCCTTTTTTGTTCAGACAGCAGGAAGGTCCTTCTGGGTGAGGATGCAGGGCAGGAGAGCAGCCATCTGTGGTTAGTGGGGACCAGGACCATGGAGCCGGGTGGGAGCAGAGGGGAATCAGCCATGAGGAGGTCGCAAGAGGCCTGAGATGGGATTAAGGAACGTGGAGGAGCAGCAGGGACTGAGCTGCTGATGCAGGTGGGAGCCTGGGGGCTGCGGCAGGAGGTAGGATGGAGAGAAACCCAGCAGGAACCTGTTCGTTTCATGAGTCCTTTAGATTTTGGCCAGGAGCTGCTGGGCAGCTCTTCTCCTGCTGCGTGATGTGCCTGTCACAGTCCCCAGCAGCTTTTGTCAGGAGATTGTTTGCATTTACAGTGTCCCATCACCCATCACAGGCCAACGCTCGGGCTGCTCACACGGTGTGTCCTCCTGCCCGTGCCACCGCTCGGGCCAACGGGGACCACAGCATCCCTGCCCTCAAAATAACCACCAGCCGTGGGGCTTGGCTACAGTGCTGTGGGCAGTTTTGGGGACCCTCAAGTCCTGAAGGCACCCTGGTTCTTGCAAGCCAAGAACCCCCAAAAACCATCACCCTGTTGAGCAAAGCCCCTACAACCCGCTGCGTACCCCTCCGTGTGTGCCAGCCCGCTCCAGCCCATGGGGAGATGGGGAGGAGGAGCAGCGTTTGCCAAGTGGGTGGGGAAAGCAGCTATTGAAATATTTAATTGAAACCCGATTTTAATTTTCTTGACAACTTTTGCTGCGAGGGGGACGGGAAGCGCAGTAAGTCATTTGGGGCTGGCTGCAGGAAGCAGGGGGGGAAACAGGGGGGTGGTGGGGGCAGGAGGGACCAGCACCCTGGGAACACTTACCCTGCCAGCCCCGGGCACGGGAACCATTTCAAACCAAGTTATATGAATTCCAGGGAACAAATAGTTCCCTCTGCGGCTATTTCCAGCGTGGAAATACCTATGGAAAGAGGCTGCTCTAAGTCACCGATTCAAATCCCAGGGTCATATCAATTCTCCCTTTCGAGGCAAATGAAACGGGTTGTGCGGAGCTTTGTGCAGAAGGTGATGGGGGGGGAGGTTTGAGAGAAGACCTTCGGATAAATCTGCTGTTTGTGGGCATTAAAAAGCCAGTTGTGCTAATCCCAGATGCTGGATTTTTAAGCTTCAAGTGCCACCGGTTGCATTATCTTGTTTCTTGGCTGCTTGAGACAGGAAAATTACATTTCAATTGCTTTTTAATTCAACTTAATCTGGTGCAAAAGTTAGTGTGCACCCTCTAATTTTGTTTCCTGAGCGGTTTGTTTCAGCTAATTCCTAATCAGCCAACGTTAAATCAAAACAGGCCTGGCTCAAGCTGCAATAGATGAGTCCTCGCAACCTTGCCAAGCAATTTAATTAAATTGGCTTAAAATCACGCCCCGAGATAAGCGGGGGCAGCCTCTGGCATGGGTCACCCCCCTTCCCCCCCCCTGCCAGGAGTAGCTCCTCTGCCTGGAGAGCTCTCTCGCCCCCGGTGCTGCAGGAACACGGCTGTGAGTTTATCCTTATCCTGGGCTGCTCTTTCCCTCTCTGCCCTTTCCATTCCCTCTCCCCCTGCCAAGAACAATCAGCCCCGTCCTGTTCATCCCCCTGTCGCTGCCAGGGCCGGGAGGGAGAAGATGGGGAGAGAAAAATAGGTGCAAATTGACGAGCAACCCCCCCTCCCCAGCCTTTTGCCTCGGTCACTGATGGCAGGAGAGGTGGCACCGCCGGGTGCTTGGCCCCAGGAACGGGCAGAGGATGAAGCAGAGCCCATTTCAACCCCACGAGGATGAAGCAGAGCCCATTTCAACCCCACGCTGAGGACAGATCGATATTTGCCCAACGGGAAAGGGGACAACTGCTGGAGGGAAAAAAAAAACCAACCAACCAACCCGTTTCGGTTTTCCACATAATAAGAGGGTATCACAGCTAATGGAGAGGAAAGGAGATAAAACCCTAAATCTACATGACAGTGTCCCCTGAGCTCAGCCTTGTGTGCTCAAGCTGAAAATCCGCATCGTGACAGGTATGAAAAGCTGCGGTTCCAGGTTGGAGGTTTTCTTGGTGGCTGCTCTCTCCCACCCGGCCACCTCCCCACCGGGGCACTGCGGGGTGGTTTGATGGTGACTGGTGGCAGATTTAAAAGTACCAGTTTTAAGCCTTGAGATAAATGCTCTGATTTTCCCCTCCTCTGTTTTTTTTTTCCATGTTTCTTCGGTAGGTTTACTCTCACTGCACGTGTGAAAAGGCACCGGTGAGGGAAGAGGTTGGCACGTGGATCTCCACGGTGGCAGGGACACCCCGAGCTCCATGGTGGGACATTGTGTGGCCGCAGCAGCTGGTCTGAGCCATCCCTTGGTGAAAGAAAAACCTCACCTGGCAGAGAGTGAGCGAAGGTAGGGATTCCTGCCAACCCCCTGAACGCTTACTCCCAGCCAGCAGATTTTCTCCATCAGCTCTAGTCTAGTCCAGCAAGTTAACATCAACAAATTAATTTTACTTATTAGTTACAGCAACACCAAGGAAGTACCCATGTGGGCTCCTGACCCAGCTGCCAAGGTGGACGCGGGGCAATTCCTAAGTGTGGCAGGGACGGAGCCTGGGAATTCCTCCTTTTCCAGTTGGGATGCATCCTCCTGGTGAAGGATCCTGGAGGGAGGCAGCGCTGACTCCGCAGCCGGCACCGGTCCCTGCTGGGGAGGCAGAACGTCAGGCAGCTGGTGACATCCCCACCGCTGGCCAGGAGGTTCCTCTCAGTCCTGTGCTTCGTCCAGCAGCTGCAGGTTTGGGTCGAGATCAGAGCTGCCTTGTGCCAGGCACTAAACGAGCACAGAACGAGTGACAGCCCCGTCCCTTGCAGTCTGTCTAATCAGGACATGCAGAAAGTGGGAGATGGGATTTATTGTTATCCCTGTCTTACTGCTGAGCCGAGCTCCACAGCTGGATTTTCCGAGGCTCAAGGTGCACCTTGTTGTTTCCCCTAATTTGGTGCAGCGGCCTCAAAAAAGCAGCCCTGCTTTTCTCCCCCCGTTCCTCCGCAGCCGGGGAGCCATGGGGACGCCTCAGTTCAGGCAGCTCGTTCAAAGGGATGGCAACCCACAAAAATGAAGCAACGAGCGTGGTTTTCCATCAATTTGATTGAAAAAGCTCCTGCTGGAACCATGGGATGGTTAGAGCTGGCAGACAAGGAGGAGAGGTGTCCCTAGGGGCTGGTGGTGGTGCAGTATCGCATCTCCCGTG